GTAGTTACGCATTGCTTGATAGTGTGATGGCTGTTATATGGTGTGACATGGTGTGATGCATGGTTGCTGGCATGGTAAGGGTGATAATGTGATGGCTGGCATGGAAGGTGATAGTGATGGCGGCTGTCATATGGTAAGGTGATAGTGTGATGCATGGTTGTCATATGGCAAGGTGATATAGTGTGATGCATGGCATGGTAAGGTGAAAGTGTGTGATGCATGGCTGGTCATATGCGTGACAGTGTGATGCATGGCTGTCATATGGTAAGGTGACAAGTGTGATGCATGGTCATATGGTAAGGTGGAATGTGTGATGCATGGTCTATGGTAAGGTGATAGTGTGATGCATGGCTGTCATATGGCAAGGTGACATGGTGTGATGGCGTGCTCATATGGTAAGGTGATAGTGTGATGCATGGCTGTCATATGGCGAGGACATGTGGTGTGATGGCTATGGCCGTCATGGTAAGGTGATAGTGTTCTGCATGGGTGCTGGCGATGGTGGTGATAGTGATGCATGGTCAGGATATGGCAAGCAGATGGTGTGTGATGCATGGTGCTCATATGGTAATGTGATAAGTGTGATGCATGGCTGTCATGGTAAGGTGATAGTGCGATGCATGGCTGCGATATGGCAAGGTGACATGGTGTGATGCATGGCTGTCATATGGCAAGGTGATAGTGTGACATGGCTGGTTCATATGGTAAGGTTAAGAGCGTGGATGTGCATTGCTGTCATATGGTAAGGTGATAGTGTGATGCATGGCTGTCATATGGCAAGGTGACATGGTGTGATGCATGGGTGTCATATGGTAAGGTGAGTGTGATGCAATGCTGTCATGGATGGTAAGTGATAATGTGATGCATGGCTGTCATATGGCAAGGTGACATGGTGTGATGCATGGGTGTCATATAGTAAGGTGATAGTGTGATGCATGGCTGTCATATGGGTAAGTGATATGTGATGCATGGTCATATGGCAAGGTGATGTGTGATGCATGGGTGCGTCATATGGTAAGGTGATAGTGTGATGCATGACTGTCATATGGTAAGGTGATAGTGTGATGCATGGCAGTCAAGGCGGCAAGGTGACATGGTGTGATGCATGGCTGCTGGCGGCGGCAAGGTGATAGTGTGATGCATGGGTGTCATAGGTAAGGTGACATAGTGTGATGCATGTGTCATATGGTAAGGTGATAGTGTGATGCATGGCTGTCATATGGTAAGGTGATAGTGTGATGCGTATGGCTTATGGCAAGGTGACATGTTGTGATGCATGGCTGTCATATGGTAAGGTGATAGGTGGATGCATGGCTGTCATATGGTAAGGTGATAGTGGATGCATGGCTGTCACCTGGTGAGGTGATAGTGTGATGCATGGCTGTCATATGGCAAGGTGACATGGTGTGATGCATGCGTGTCATATGGTAAGGTGATAGTGTGATGCATGGCTGTCATATGGCAAGGTGACATGGTATGATGCATGGCTGTCAATGTAAGGGGTGATAGTGTGATGCATGGTCACCTGGTGAGGTGATAGTGATGCATGGCGTCTGTTATGGCAAGGTGATAGTGATGCATGGGTGTCATATGGTAAGTGACATAGTGTGATGCATGGTGTCATATGGCAAGGTGATAGAGATGCATGGGTGTCATATAAGGTG